TCTAAATGTTTTTTCGTTTTACTTTGATGGTACTTCGGCCAGATTTCGGCCACTCTGATTGCTCAGTCTCGAGAAAAGTCGTAGTCTGTTCACACAGGGTTGGCTAACTCGGATCAGGGTTCTATTTATAACGGTTTTGTTTTTACAGTAACCATGACATCAATACTCAACCACTACACACTGCGGCTTTCGAATTACACAGCACTACAATCCTAGTGTGCAGGCTCATCGATGTGGTACATCTCCCCCCCCTCCTCCTCATCATCGGATAGGAAGGGGTTGTCTTCTTCGCTTGAGTAAACTTGGGGTGGCGACTGCTCAATATCCTGATCCATCTCCCGGTCCTCACCATCATCGTTTGAATCTGCGAACTCCTCCTTGCCAGCGGGCTCGCTAGGTCCCTCTTCTTCCCCCTCCGGTTCTTTCCCCGTGCGCTTCCGATCTTCAGCTGGGAAAACAACGCTCTGTGCCGGGCGCCTTTTCTTGAGGCTCTTCCAGGTGTCCAACATCCCAGGCCAATCGATCTCGTATTGCAGCAGAGAGATCTACATCAGCTCCGCCAGCCGCGCGTTGCACAGAGACTCACGGACCCATGACTTGATCACGTTCTGGCGCGAGAACCCCCGCTTGCACTCTACAGTGGATAGTGGCAGGAATGCCAGCGCTTGCCACAGCAGCAACAGGTTGGGCCAGCGCCTGCCAAACACAAAAAAAATAGATTTGGCAAAGGATGTCTGCGAGGAAGAAGAGGCAGAACTGGAACTTGTACGACGTCACCGTCTCGTACAAGTCGTGCTCCTTCTCGTGGAAGAGAACGATCGCCGCTCCAAGCACCTTGCACAGTCACTTCACCGCGTAGCCCCGGGAAAGCCAGCGCACGCTGTGGATTCCATGGACCTCGAGGTTCGTGTTGTATATGATGCGCTGCAGGTACTTGAACCGCTGGCTCCAGTGGCTTGAGGCGCACAGGCCTTCCGCAAGAGTGCACACCACGCTGTCCACCATGGCGCGGTACGGATTAGCCGTGGCCGCGTCCTTCAATGCCAACACCTCCCTACATTTCGAGACATACAACATAGTTAGCAACTGTCTCCGTGTCTTAACGAATCGTTACACAAGGAGTCGATGGTGCCACCGTGGATTGTATCACCTATGTGCGATGCAGTGAGTTGACACAAGATGCGGCACATGTTCCCACAGCCGAGTCACGAGCCCGTTGTCGCAACCAATAATCGCCGACGCCCGTCCATGCTGATGCCCACCACTCGGTTGATGTCAATGTTGGTTGTGTGCAAGTGGTTAAGCAGAACTGACAAGAGCAAAGCTGCATCGCATCTTTCAACAGTGAGAAGGGTGAGATAATCGATAACGACACGACGATTGCGCAAGAAGTGATGTACACAATCACATGCTTCCCGCGAGTCCGGTCGGTGCTCTCGTCTGTGCTCACGCCGAGGAAGGGCGATGTAGCGATGTGCTACATCTGCGTCTGCGTCAACGAGGTGCTGAGGTAGTGCACAATCTGCTGGAAACCGTATCTGCACGGGGTATTTAAAAACATACATCAGTCGTTAAAGCGAACAAGCTCACAGTCGGTGAGTTGACAACATACTTGACATACCTAGTGAGGTACACCCTATAGGCTTGCTTCGGGATGTCGAGGTGTCCTGCTCAGCGAGATGCCGCATCAGCATAGGGAACATGCTGATGGGCGCGTCCTCCTGGCACAGAATCTGCACCGACCTCATCAGCCGCACCGCTCGCCGACCCTCTACATCTATATTGATGAAGTGGTCGATCTTTGTGTGGCCCTTCGAAATCGCCTCCGCAATTTCCGTCTGTCGCTGCATCGCCTCCTTGTGGACCGACGTGTGCTCGTGAATGCGCATTGTTTTCGTCTGCATGTCTCGCCCGTCGTCGCCAGGACCTGAAAAATTTGTAGTCTCCTTGCCGTATGAGAGACACACGCTGCACTTCACATTGGGACCACCATCTTTAGCGCGAAGCAAAAGAAGCCATGGGAATTTGGGCAACCACTGAATGTTACACTTCACACTTGCCTCGATTGACTTCTGCTCCATTAACTCGGCCTTCGATATACGGGAGACTTGGTGTCCTCGCGTACAAGTACGTCATGAGGTTCAGGTTCATCTGGTTCCGGCTCGGATTCTTTGGGGCCACTTGGTCGAGGCACGCGCACACCGCCGAACGTCAACGTGCTCTGCTGTAACTTCCCTAGGAGCAACATTGTGCGCGCCTTCTTAGCCGTACGTCCCTCAGACGTGGGAGCGGCATCGTTGCAGCTGCTGCTACCAACTGCAGAGGGAGGGGCTTTACTGGACGACGCGATGGCGGGTGGAAGAGTGAACGGCGCTTGAGCAAGCGCGGGATTGGGGGCCGGTTGCGGACCCTTGCTGGACGACGCGATGGCGGGTGGGAGAGTGAATGGCGCTGAACAAGGCACGGGATTGGGGGCCGATTGCGGACCCTTGTTGGACGTCGCGACGGTAGGAGACAGTGTGAAAGCTGCTGGTTCATGGTCGTCACTGGTAACCAACGGAGCATCATCGGTATTAACAACGGTAGTGGTAACTGGAGGTTCAGGAGTGACACGAGCTACGCTAGGTCGAAGGAAATCAAGGCCGCTAACCCTTCGATCGGGAGGCTTTTCCGGGACAGGGTCGGGCGAGTCCTCCGCGGGAGGTAAGGACACCATGGCGAGAGAGATTAGAGAAGTAGAGAATGTTCACGAATGAAATCTGCCAAAGGTTTTTGGGGACCCCCATCACCAGGACAGAAACAGCTGAAGCAGACGGGTGAGGGGCCAGAACGAAAGTTGCGGCACCAAGAAAGTGGTTCACGGCGTGAGGTGGGGTTTGCAGAATGAATCGGCCTTCGGATTCAAGGCCCAGTTTATTCCTCAATGCCAGCACACAGAGGTGCAGTGCCATGCCACCAATCGCGTTCGACCCATCGCATCTCGTGAGGGTGGCGCGGAGCGCGTGGCTACCGCTCATCATCGAAGCTGCCATGCTGTACGCAGCATGCTGCATCTGGCTGCTTTGCTGCGTACAGCACACCAATTGGTTTTGTCGCCATTAAGTGGTTTCCTGCCCACGCGAACAAGAAGACAGCCAAGGGGGGTGGGGAAATGATTACGCGTATAAGGGAAACTTCGAGGAAGCTTCGTCTCAATAAACTCGCATTCAGGGACCACCGAATGTATACTCTGTAGAAACAACGAACTCTGAGGCCTATTACACTATATCAGGGGCCATAAAAACAAATTTTGAGGGTCTTAGTGATAAAAAATTTGACTCCACTCGAAGTATATTTTCCACAAAGTGAACAGTCTGATTCGTCAGACTAATCAGACTATTTCCGTATTCTCCCGGACATAACATCCCCCCTGTCAAAACCCATTGTATTGTGTAGGCTGTAGTGGGGTAGCCTATATGGGGTACAACCCAGTTTGGGTTTAGTACTTGTACCAAACCCTGTCATAGTTCATTCATTCCTGCTGTTCATTCTGACATGGTATCAGAGCAGGACGATCCTGTCCCAGGACCCTTCTCGTTAGGGCCCACCGATCAAATTCTGCCCGTCGCGCTGCCCCACCACACGCGCATGCCCTGCCCTGCCCTGCGTTGCGCCGTCCCGCGAACGCCCTGCCCTGCCCTGCGTTGCATCGCGTTGCCCCGCGCACGCCCTGCCCTGCCCTGCGTCGCGCTGCCCCGCGCACGCCCTGCCCTGCGTCGCGCTGCCCCGCGCACGCCCTGCCCTGCCCTGCTGCCCGTCGCGTCGCACGCCCCTGCTGCCCGTCGCGCCGCATGCCCCTACCACCTGTCGCGTCGCGTCGCCCGTGCAGGCTACCTCAGCCCGTTGCGTCGCCCGTCCGCCCTGCCCCTGCCCGTCGCGTCGCCCGTGCAGACTGCCCTGCCCGTCGCGTCGCCCGTGCGGGCTGCCCTGCCCGTCGCGTCGCCCGTGCGGGCTGCCCCAGCCCGTCGCACAACCCGCGCGCGCCCTGCTCTGTCCGCGCACCGCGCGTCCGCCCTGCCCTGCCTGTCACGCGGTAGCAGTGGGAGTGGTGGCGGCAACCGTGGTAGCAGTTGCGGTGGAGCTGTTCAGTGGGGAGTTTCTAACGGTGGCCAGATGCAGCTGCAGCGGCGTCCGCGCGAGACCCTTACGTCTCAGCAGCTTCGTGAGTGGTTAGCTCAGCGTGACCCTGGGTGTACTGCTCATTGCCCGTACGTCATTCGCACAGGTGACCGCGCTGGTCACACCTGCGGGACATTTGGCAACACACAGTCCCGCAGCTTTGCCTATCTGAGCGACGCCTGGCGCGCAGAGTTTGGCGTCGCGGCTGAGCTCCCCCACTGGTTAGATCTGCATCGGCGCGGTGTGGATATATTTGCTCTAGACTATGACGCTATCCTTACAGCTGTGTACGCTTTGCCTGCTGGTCCTGAGGGTGACTGCTACCTATGTGTGCCGCCCGACCCAGGTATGGCGGCTGCTGCTCTAGGTGCTAGTGCGTCTGCTCTCTTTGGTACAGAGGCTGCTACTCTAGGTGCTAGTGCGTCTCCTACTCTCTCTGGTACTACTCCTGCTGAGGCCTTCCACACCTTCACACTTGACTCAGGTGCTTCTCGCTGTTTCTTTCGTGACAGTACCACAGTCACACCACTCCCTGCACCTGTTGCAGTGTCTCTGGCTGACCCCTCCGAGGGCCCAATTCTGCACGTTTGGCGGTCCCGTCTGGCTCACTAACAGGTCTTCACCTCCCCTCGTCCTCAACGAACTTGGTGAGTACCGCCGTCCTTCAAGATGTTGGGGTTCATACCTTTACCCCTAGAGGACAGCGTGTGGCGATCTGCACGTGTGCACGGACGGGCCGTCACCTGGCCACGTTTACCCGTCGGCCTGGGTCGAGTCTGTACACACTGACTACTGAGCCTCCTCAGGTCGCTGCGTCTGGTCAGGTGTCTGCGTCAGGTCAGATGTTAGCCCCTTGTTGGTGTCGCCTCCTTTCGCACCAGACTCTCCTCTGGCACCACCGCCTTGGTCACCCCTCCCTGCCACGCCTCCGTGGCATGCACTCCCGCCTCCTTGTCTCTGGCCTTCCCAGGTCTCTGCCCCCCATCCGGCGCACGCCTGCGCCGCCCTGCCTTCCTTGCGTCGAGGGGCGGCAGCGCGCCGCTCCTCACTCCTCCTCGTTTCCCCCGACAACTGCTCCCCTGCAGACTCTCCACCTGGACGTGTGGGGCCCAGCCCGCGTCAGTGGACAGGGCCGCGAGCGGTACTTTCTGCTGGTTGTTGACGACTACTCGCGTTACACCATGGTCTTCCCCTTGCACAGCAAGGGGGAGGTCCCTGATGTCTTGATCCCTTGGATCCGCGCTGTTCATCTCCAGCTCCGCGAGCGGTTCCGCACGGACTTTCCTGTCCTGCGTCTGCACTCTGACAAAGGTGGTGAGTTCTCCTCCGACCTCTTGCGGGACTTTTGTCAGGGGGAGGGCATCCTCCAGTCGTTCACGCTTCCGGCCTCCCCGCAGCAGAATGGGATTGGCTTAGTCATGGAGGTCCCTCGCACCTCCATGATCCATGCGGCTGCTCCCCATTTTCTGTGGCCGTTTGCGGTCCGGTACGCTGCGCATCAGCTCAACCTCTGGCCCCGTATCTCCTTGCCGGAGACCTCGCCCACCCTGCGTTGGACGGGGGAGGCTGGCGATGCGTCGCGCTTCCGGGTCTGGGGCTCTCGTGCCTTTGTCCGTGATACCACCGCGGACAAGCTCTCCTCTCGCGCCATTCCCTGCGTCTTCCTTGGCTTTCCCCCTGACGCGCCTGGCTGGCAGTTTTACCATCCCACCTCGCGCCGTGTCTTCACATCCTAGGACGTCACCTTTGACGAGTCGGTTCCCTTCTACCGTCTCTTCCCCTACCGCACTACCCCTCTCCCCCCCCCGCCGCTCTTCCTCGCTCCAGGTCCCCCTCCGGTAGACCCCCTCCCCCCTCAGGGTCTTGCTCCTTCAACATTGTCTCAGGTAGACCCACTTCCCTTGGCTGAGCCTGTCGAGGTCACTGGTGACTCAGGTGCTGCTGGGGGTGGTCCTTCTCGGGTTGCCGCGCCTGGGGGTACTGAGCCTGAGCGTGCGGAGCCTAGGAGTACTGAGCCTGAACGTGCAGAGCCTGGGGGTGCTGAGCCTGAGCGTGCGGAGCCTGGGGGTGCGGAGCCTGGGGGTGCTGAGCTTGAGCGTGCAGAGCCTGGGGGTGCTGAGCCTGAGTGTGTGGAGCCTGGGGGTGCTGAGCCTGCGGGTGCGGAGCCTGGGGGTGCTGAGTCTGGAGGTGCTGAGCCTGGGGGTGCTGCGTCTTCACTACGGGAGCCTCTCACACAGCAGTTGTGTGAGTGGCTTGCTCGACGCACCTGCCTTTGGAGTCGTGCTATTGGAACCGGAGGCGCCAGAGCTGGAGGCTCTGGCGCTGGCGTTGCTGGTCCTGGAGGTGCTCGTACTGGACTTACTGGAGCTGCCGAGGCTGGTGGTGCTGCTAGTCCTGGAGGTGCTGGAGGTCTTGCTATAGCTGGAGGTACTGGGGGTACTGGAGCTACTAGTCCTGGAGGTCCTACAGGTGCCTCGCCACCGCAGTCTAGTCGGCGAGAGCCTCTCTCACCACAGCAGCTGCGTGAGTGGCTTGCCCGTCGCTCCCGCCTTCGGAGTGGCGCTGCTGGAGCTGGGGGAGCCGGGGCTAGAGGCTCTGGAGCTGGAGCTGCTGGTCCTGGAGGTGCTCGTACTGGAGGTACTGGAGCTGCCAAGGCTGGTGGTTCTGCTGGTACTGGAGCTGCAGGAGCTGGTGGTGTTGCGGGCTCGGGAGCTGTTGGCGCTGGCGCTGGAGGCGCTGGAGCTGGAGGCGCTGGAGCTGGAAGCAGTGGCACTGGAGGCACTGGAGCTGGAGGCGCTGGAGCTAGAGGTACTGGAGCCGGAGGCGCTGGAGCTGGAGGCGCTGGAGCTGGAGGTACTGGAGCTGGAGGCACTATAGCCGGAGGCACTGGAGCTGGAGGCAATGGAGCTGGAGGTCCTGGAGCTAAAGGCACTGGAGCTGGAAGCGCTGGAACTGGAGGTACTGGAGCCACAGGCACTAGACCTGGAGGCGCTAGCGCTGGAGGCGCTGGAGCTGGAGGTACTGGAGTTTGAGGCTCTGTGCAGCAGCGACCGTTTTTCGAGCCGCCGCCGCTGCTGTCCGAGCTCCCACCCGAGTCGGTGCTCCGCCAGGTTCTTAGTCTTCCTTCGTCCACTGCCCTTCCTCCTGGCTCGCCAGTGCCTGCCCTGTCCCATTACACTGAGCAGCCAGTCTCCTTTACAGAGCGTCGTGAGCCTGCGTCTCGTCCTGTCTCCCCTGTTCGCGCTGTTCGCACCGCTCGTTGTGTCCTGCGTCCGCGTCCTCCTCCTATGCCAGGTACTCACACTATGGCACTTCGTCCTTCCTCTGCTCCACAGCGCGTCCCTCTGCCGTCTCCTCCTGCGTCCTCTCTTCCTGAGATTCCTGAACCTGATTCTGATTGTGTTCGTGCTGCCAGCCCCACAGTCACGCGTCTCCTGGCTACTGTTGTCACTGACCCGTCGTTTGAGTTCACTGCTGTGTCTGCCTTAGTTGCTGAGCTTATCGACATTGATGTTGCGTATCGTTGAGACTACGCCGCCAGCCTTGTTGTAGAGTCTGAGTCTGTCTGTCCTCCGTCCGTCGGGGGTGAGTGTGCTCTTGACACGGACGTCCTTGAGGATAGGCAGGAGGACTTTGAGTGTCTTGTGGCTGCTGTACCTCATCTCGTGGCCTGGCTGCTTGCACCTGAGGGAGACCCGGATGCACTAGACATCCCGACCCCGCGCTCTTACGCAGAGGCGATCACGGGTCCCTACTCCTCTCAGTGGCAGACAGCCATGGATGCAGAGAAAGCATCCTGGAAGTCTACAGGCACCTACGTCGACGAGGTTCCCCCTCCTGGGGCGAACATAGTCGATGGCATGTGGATTTTCAGGGTGAAGTGGCCGCCGGGTTCTCCCCCTGTCTTCAAGGCTCGTTACGTTGCACGAGGCTTCAGTCAGCGGCAGGGAGTTGACTTCTTCCAAACCTTCTCCCCTACCCCGAAGATGACCACTCTTCGGGTACTGCTGCACGTTGCTGCTCAGCGTGACTACGAGCTTCACTCTCTTGACTTCAGCACTGCTTTCTTGCAGGGCAGCCTGCACGAGGAGATCTGGCTGCGCTGCCCACCTGGCTTCACTGGGTCGTTCCCTCCTGGTACCCAGTGGAGCCTCCGGCAGCCAGTCTACGGTCTCCGCCAGGCGCCACGTGAGTGGCACGACACACTGAGGACGACACTTGCGGCTCTTGGGTTTGCTCCCTCCACTGCTCACTCGTCGTTGTTTCTTCGCACCGACACTTCTCTGCCGCCGTTCTACATCCTCGTGTACGTCGACAACTTGGTCTTTGCCACTGCTGACACTGAGGCACTTGCCCTTGTGAAGTCGGAGCTGCAGAAGAGACACACGTGCACAGACCTGGGTGAGCTGTGCAGCTACCTTGGCTTGCAGATTACCCAGAACAGAGCACGCCGCACCATTACCCTGACCCAGTCACACATGGTGCAGCAGATCCTTCAGCGCTTCGACTTCCAGTACTCCTCACCACAGTCCACTCCTCTATCTACACGTCACTCCCTCTCAGCTCCACCTTCGGACGAGTCCGTAGAGCCGAGTGGCCCGTATCCAGAGCTTGTGGGCTGCCTCATGTACGTGATGACCTGCACTCGACCTGACCTTGCGTACCCTCTTAGCATCCTAGCTCGCTACGTTGTGCGTGGGAGACACCGGCGAGAGCACTAGGAGGCTGCTAAGAGGGTATTGCGCTACTTGTGCAGTACATCAGGCATGGGGCTGCTGCTTCGAGGACGGGGTGACGTTGTCCTCACTGGACACTCAGACGCCTCTTGGGTTGACAACCTGGCCACACAGCGTTCGTCACAGGGTTACACCTTCAGTCTTGGTTCCGGCTCTGTCTCTTGGCGGTCTACCCGCTCTTCTTCTGTTCTCAGCTCCAGTTGTGAGGCTGGGATCTACGCCACAGCCATGGCTGCACAGGATGTTCGCTGGCTCACCTACCTGCTGATTGACTTGGGAGAGCGGCCTCGCCTTGTGTCAGGATCACAGACTGGAGCACAGAACGAAGCACGTGGCTCTGCGTTACTTTCTTGCTCGAGAGCTGCAGCAGCGTTGCGAACTTCGTTTTGCTTACGTGGACACGCGGGCCAACACAGCTGATATATTCACCAAGGCACTTCCGCCTAGTGATCATCAGCATCACTGCACTGCTCTTGGCCTACGTTCTCTCACTTGCTCACTACTTTACCTTGATTGTACTGTGATCTATATATATCCTTGCATGCTTACATTTGCTAGGTTGTGATCACTGTACTGCTTGCTTTGTTTTATATAACTCTGCATGTGGACTGGCCTTGTGGCCCTTTGCTTGTGCTCAGAATGTGTGGTGACTTCGTGATCCACCCTGAGCTTGCTTTGCTTGTCTGTGACTACTTGTGCTTCCCCATCTTGCCTATATGGGGTACAACCCAGTTTAGGGTTAGTACTTGTACCAAACTCTGTCATAGTTAATTCATTCCTGCTGTTCATTCTGACACCCCTGTCATTGTACACCCCCGGGTAGCTTATGCGGGGTGGGTGCTATGGGCGACCTCGATTCTAATATACCCCCCTTTTTGGATGATTTTTTATAACACCTCTCTTTTCTTTTATATTCTTTATTATATTTGTTAACGAGTAGGTGCAAGTATGGGAGGATATTGCGAAAATCCCTCACTCGATGAAATTTCCAGATTCTTTCACTTCGAATCTGCAAAGATTTCCCCCCGCCCACTATTTCGCTATCGCCACGCGCTAGTGAATCTTCCGCTGAAAGTGGCCAGCCAGGTGCCACATCGCATTTTCGAGGGGGTGATGACGTTCGCGTCGAAACTCACTTCGCGCCTCAACATGTGATGTTAAATCGCCCATGGAAACACTCAACTTGTCTAATAAAAAAAGAACTCTTACACTAAAATATACCATATATATGTGTCAGAGGTCCACTGGAGATCCCCGATTGATCCTAGGGAAGGGTTACAGGCACGTCGGCCTGGGGGGTTATGGGCGCACTCACCCGCTACACAAACAAGCCCTTTTATCCCAGTGGTTAGTGGCTGGGATTCTGACAATATGCACACGAGTATTATGTTGCTTTTTCCTATGAGAAGACGCCCCCCATTTTTTTCCTGTATTTTTAGATATACCCTAGGGTGTTATGTCCGGAGGAATACGGTTAGTCTGATAGCGTCAGCCCTAAATGAAACAAGGAACTGACGCGCGTGGCGAGGGTCCCGACAAGCACCAGCTGGCAGGGTTTCAGTTCCGCCACCCTGGCGCTGGGAGAGCGACAGATCCGTCGTTCCCACTGGCAAAACGGGAGCAACGGATGTTCATCAGGGCTGAGGTTTCATATTAGGCCTCCCTCGGGGAAATTGTTTCCCCTTTGTTATGAGTGCACATATTTCAGAATGATGCTACCCTAATTGCTTAGGGTTGAAAGGTATGTAACTCTGATTGTTGAGGGTCGAAAATCGAAGATCAGAGTAGTAACGCGCCTTTTGTTACGGGGGAAAAAATTATCGCTCTGCGTTAAGTCTGCGCTCCATGTTTCGCGCACACCTTATGCGCTAATTTCCACCCTTTAAGTTTTACAAAACATTATTTATCCACAAGTTTTAGCGCGGGGAAGAGACGAGCGATTTCGGTCAACCAAACATTTCGATTCGATACCACAGATGTGCCAAGTTTTTAATTCGCCG